TAACAGATTAGAAAAGGAGGGCACAGAGAAGCTGAGTAACTTCCTCAAGTCACACAGCTAGTCAGAGGGTAGAGCCAGGATTTGAACCCAAGCAGTAGTCTGGCTTCAGAGCCTGTGCTCCTTACCACTTAACGTTACTATACAGAAAATATGGTAATAATAGCTGATATATAGTGAACCAGATACTATGTGAAATATTTTGCGTTAATTATCGCATTTAATTCTCTCTGTAGTCCTTCAAGTTGGGTACTAAAGGGCATGTCTAATACTCTGAAAAATGAGGTTCAGAGAGGTTAAATAACTTGCTCAAACTTATACCCTTAGAAAGGTGGTCAGTATAGACCAAATTTATGTAGAAACTCAGAGAGAAGTGAGATTAAACCTTAGTGCAGAATTTAGGGAGGCACTTGAAGAAGGCCTTGACAAATTGGTCATCTTTGGGCAGATCGAGGTAACCCATCTCTGCCCAACACAACTTCCTGAGCTTTCCTGTACTGATTACCAAAACTTACCTATTTACATGCTTATCTTTCTTCATAGGCCTCAAGAGCAGGGATTATGTCTGATTTGTTTCATTATCCCAAGCACCTAGCGTAGGGTAGATATTCATTAATACATTTTAATTATTCAGCGAAAAATATTTATTGAGCACATACTCTGAGCCAAGTTCTGTCCTGGCAGTTAGGATCTAATTAATGGTGAACAAACAGCTGTGATCTTTACTATCATGAAACTAATGGGGAAAGAACTATTAAACAAATACACAAATAAATATATAATTAAAAATTGTGTAAATGGGCAAATTGTATAGTATGTGAATTATATCTCAATAAAGCTTTTTAAATTGTGATAAGTTCTGCGTGAGTTAGGACTCTTGTTATTACAAGTGATAAAATCCCAAATCAAACTAGTTTTAATAAAAAACTAGAATTTATTAGCTCTTGTAACTGGGAAGTCCACTAGTCCCAGGACTCAATTGCCTTCTCCATTTCTCAGCTTTACTCATCCCCTCAGCCTCCTTCTACAGCCAGACTCTCTGCATGGGGAGTTAGATGGGTGATGGCAGCTCCAGATTCTTAGCTTCCCGATTCCTGCAAAAAGAGGCCTTCTCTCTCTCTCAGCCACCATATATCAATGCCAGGGAAGACTATGATTGGTCATCTGTGAGTCACATGCCTATTCCAGTGGCTGGGGGAGGCAAATATGGTAATTTATAGTCCCACTATAACTGTTTAAAATGGTGGTCCCCTAAAGGAAGGAATAGTGGGCAGATAAAACTAACATAGATCTACCACAAGTGCTATGAAGAAAGTGAAAAAGAGAAAACTAATTTTAGGCTGGTGAGTCAAGGTCTTGTGAGAAAGTAACACATAAGCTGAGAACTAAAGGATGAGAAAAAGTTAGCCAGGCAAAGAATGGAGTGTGAGGATGGCAGTGTTCCACTTCAAGAACAGTCTGAATGTGGGTTAGAGCTTGAAACACTCGTGAGATTGAAAGAAGGCCATGCCACAGAGACTAAAGAATGAAGGGGAGAGTAGTGTGTGATGAGGGTGAACGGACAGGCAGAGGTCAGATCATGCAGGATTTTGCAAGGATATGATCAGCTCTGGGAACAGTGAAGGAGGATGCTCAGTCTTCCTCACCCTCACCCCAGTGCCTATCCCTCTGCTATCCCAGGTTTTAAGTCAGTTTCAATGGTCTGCTTGCCAGTGCAGTAGTGCCATTCTCTGCTTTATGGGATCCCACCTCAGGACTCCTTTTCTTTTAGCCTTTCTTAGCTCACTCCACCAAGACTATCGATATGGCCAGCAACTAGCATTTATTTATTAAAGCTGTAAATAGCTGCAGGCCTTCTACATCCTCAAAGTTCTTGGGATCTAGGTGAGATCATATAGATGCTGAGGCAGGTGCATATTTGGGAGGGCAGATGAGTTTCAGGGACTCCTATTCCAGGAAGCATGATATTTTAGGATCCTGCCTTCATGTGCTCCTCAGAAAGGGGCTTCTTGGCTGGGCCTGGTGGCTCATGCCTGTAATCCTAGCACTCTGGCAGGCCCAAGTGGGAGGATCACTTGACCTCAGGAGTTCAAGACCAGCCTGAGCAAGAGTGAGACCCTGTCTCTACTGAAAATAGTAAAAAAATTAGCTGGGTGTGGTACCACACCTGTAGTTCCAGCTACTTGGGAGGCTGAGGCACGAGGATCACTTGAACCCAGGAGTTTGAGGTTGCAGTGAGCTAGGCTGATGCCACTGCATTCTAGCCTGGGCAACAGAGCAAGACTCTGTCTCAAAAAAAAAAAGGAAAGGTGCTTCTTGTCCCTTTCATGGATCTGATTTGGGATGGGTCTCGCCAGAACCCAGAGAGGCTAGTAAAAGGGAAATGTGCTTCTGTCTACAAAGGAAAGAGAGATCATTAAACATGTGGCTTTGAAACACGCATACACCAGCATAGTGTAGTGGGAAAAGCACCCCAGACAAGGAGTCAGGAGATTAAGGGTTTTATCCTGCTTCTGCTACTACTTACTATGTGACCCTGAGCATCTCATTTCCTGTCTCTGGATCTCAGTTTGCCCATTTGCAAAACAGAGGGTTTGATTAGTTGAGTGGGAAGGTCTGTTTGGCTCTATCCCACTTTGATTCCATGAGTACAATTTACCCAATTCCTCACTCATCATTCAGACCCCACAGACCCTTGTACATTGCCTTGTTTATTTTAGGTGCTCAATAAATGTTTTTTGGATTGAGATGAACTATGGAAACCTGGCATCATTGAGCCTGGTTGCAGAGAAACAAAGACTTAGTTTTCATTGATAATAACGAACAATGTGCTTCCACAACAATTCTCTTATGACCTTCACTCTCACTCCTAGCCTATAAGGCAACATTATCATCAGCTATAGTAGTACAGTACCTGTATTTCTGTACAGTAGATTATCAGTGCCGTAGATAGGTGATTTTACCGATGAAGAAGCTGAGTCCAGATCACTTGTATTTTCTTGTACACAATGAACTGTACCACACTCTGTGTCTTTATTTTTTCACTTTAAGATTATGGAACTTTTCTAAGCCATGTAAGTAGTAGCGGCAGGCCCAGTACTCAAGCTCAGCCTTTGGACTCAAAATTCTAATGCTTTCATTATATCATCCAATGATGTTTTCCCAAAAGCCTGTCATAATTCCTCTTAAAATTTCCACCTTCAGCCACAATGTTAGTGACACAATGTTCGTGAAATTTCTTTAGATTATGTTGTGGTAACACACAACCTGAGTCAGGGGCTTAGAGAGTAAGGATTTATTTCTCACTTGCATTATATGCCAGCTGCAAGTCAGCAGCAACTCTGATCCGGCTTTCTTACTTCTTACTCTGGGATCTGACTGGGATGACTAAACCACACCAAGTCTCTTAAAGCTTCTGTTGAGACTTAGATCATTATCATTTTTGCCCACATCCACTGGCCAAAACAAGTCACATAATCAAACCTGATGTTGATGGAGTGGGGGGATCTAGTCTTTCCATAGAGAGGTGCTGCAAGCCAATGGCAATGGGTGGGGAAATAAAAACTCTTGAAGGGAGGGCAGTAAATAATCTGCCATGGTCACTAAACCGTACGCTAGACCCTGAGGACACAGAGATGAAAGGTGCTCATGGGGCAGGGAAACAATATCATAAACAGATACTTCCAACATTCTTTGGGGAGATGGCTATGCCGGTCCTTAACCTGTTTGCTATCATTCTTCACCCTTCCCTGTGTCTCTCCCACCACCATCTCTGGGAAGTTTACCTTTGCAGGCTGTGTTTCCCAGACTGCCGTGGCAGTGGCTTCTGGCTGGGTTTAGCCAAGGGAAGACACTGGCAGGTGACTGGAGGTTGGCAAAAGGGAGAAATCCCAGTATTTCCCCACATGGTGGCTGGCTCCTCCAACAGGGGCTGCTCCTTCTCTCTGACTGCTGCTCCCATGGATCCAGCTTCCTTTAGCTCTAGTAATAGTAATTTTTGCTGTTGATAATCTCTGAGTTTTCTCACTCTTCTGTTTAGCTTCTCAGTTCTTCCATCACCTATATAACCAATTTTCTCTGGTTTAAATGATAGGAATAGTTCCCATTTTCCTGATTGGAATCTGACTGAAACAATCATGCAAAGTGCCATGGGAGTACAGAGGGGAGGTACATTTTGTATTTTGAGGTGTAGAGATGGGGTGGAAAAGAGAAAGGGAAGGCATTCTGGCATCAGTAATTCCACAGGTGAGTAAGGAAGGTGATTAGGAGTAGGAGCTAGAGAGTAATAACATGAGCAAAGAAAGGCACAAAATGGGAAAGTGTTCATGTTTCTGGAGCATACTGTGAGCCAGGAAGATGAAGCTGGGGAAGTAGACAGAGACCAGGCCATGCAAGGTCTTGGGTATTAAGTCAATGAGGCTGGATATTGAATTAGTCAGACCTCTTCCAATTCCAATGGCACTAATCCAAGTCAAAATAGCTCAAGTTATAAGGATGGAGCAAACGTGAAGCAAAATAGAAGAGAAGGTCACTGGATATGAGACGGTCAATACATTAAGAGCCCAAGATATTGGATGGATTGTCCACATGGCACTCAATGTTCCTGAGAACACGCCTGGGGTAGAAAGGAACATGATGTCCAGAGGGGTGTGAGTTGCCGGTTGATAAATGATGGAGATGAGAGGGTGTCAGAGCAGGATGGAGACAGGATTTGAACATAATGGTAGACGAAGAATGTTCTGGAGCAGTGTTTGGATGAGGAGAGGTGGGTTTAGCTGGTTGCAAGTTTCTAACTAGAAATCTGAGGTCAAATTCAGAAGAAGACAGCGTGAACACAGTCTATGGGTGTGTGACAGCTGCCTTTGAACAGGATAGATAAACGTGATCATCTTGGGGGCGGTGAGTGAACATCTCAGATTCAGTTAAGAATTGAGCCCTGGGCCCGGGTCTCCTACCTCTGGCTTGTGCGCTGAAGGCGCTGGAGCCGAGCGGAGCTGAGCAGGATGATCACGGACGTGCAGCTCGCCATTTTCGCCAACATGCTGGACATGTCGCTTTTCTTGCTTGTCGTTCTCTATCACTACGTGGCCGTCAACAATCCCAAGAAGCAGGAATGAAAGTGGCGCTTTCTCTGCCCCAGGGTTCCAGGACATAGTCTGAGGCAAGATGAAGGGTGTGAGGGGCCTTCACACTTCACTTCATCCCTTCTACCCATCACAACATACAAAGCAACTACACCTGGATTTTTCCAAACAACTTTTATTTCCTCAAAGTCTTCCTTAACCCTATGGAACAAGAAGCTGCCACTGAATAGGGCCCAGTATTGGGGCTGCTTTCTTTTCTACTCCTTCCCCCCAATATAAAAATATAGATAATAAAAAAAAAATTGAGCCCCATTAAAGACAGCAGAAATCTCATCGTTCTGAAGCCAATTAGAAGGAGGAAAGGACTGGGGGCCAGTCTGCTTAATTGGTTGTCATCTTCCTGGCCTCTAGATTATCAGCTCCTGAGAACCCTTATTAATGGACCTGAGGGAAAGGTTACCATCTGGGCCCACTAATGAGGAGCCTTCCAGGAATATGACAGTAATTGGGTGGGGGTGCATTTGGTGTTATTCTGCTAAGCAAAAGAGACCCTCGAGCTGGCTAGACCTACGAGCTGGTAACTTGAATTAGAGTTTTCATACTTTGGATATCTTTGAGATGACTGTAAAGACATCTCCTTAGCATGACATATGAGTTCTCCATGTGTCTCTCACCACTTTGGGTTTTCTGCTGCAATGATAACAAACTGCTATTGTCCTTCTAGCATATACCAAGGCTGTTTTTTGCCCCCTTATCTGTGCTCATGCTGTTTCCTCTGCCTGGTGTGCTACACATTTATGTACTCACACTTAACACTCACAGTCACATGTCTTTGTCTAAGTGATAGCTGCTTAGGCATCAGCTTCTCTAAGAAACTTTCCCTGGCCCCCAGGCCTGGTTGGACGCCTCCTCTGTGCTCTGACAACCCCCTGGCTTCCCTCTGTTCCAACACTTATCACTATAATATTGTCAATGTGTCTGTCTTCCACACTAGACTAGGACCTCCTCAAGGGTAGGAACTATCTGATTCACCTCAGTGTCCCCAGTGCCCAGCACTTGTGGAGCTGAGCTTTCATGACCCTATCCACATCACCCCAACCACCCATGCTCAGTCCCACCTCCTTCACTCAATTATTCATTCAACCAACACTCACTAAGCACCTGCTCCTCTGGCTGGTGCTGGGGCTCAGATGAATGACATAGTCCCTCTTAAATGGACTTCTGCCACACAGGGTGACAAGTGCTATGGCAGATGGAAGCACAGAGGAGAATGAAAAGACCCTATTGAAGCTGACTCCTGAAGAATGAGAAGAAGTTAGTTAGGTGAAGAGTTTTGCTCAGTTCTGACTTTAAAGGCTCACCTCCTCACTAACTTCAGGAAGCTTCCTCCCCATCTCCTCCCCTGCCACTCTCTCCCTCTCCTGCATTCCTGCATGGCCTCTGGTTTTCTCTACCTGGCTTAGAATATTATAGCTTGTTCTGTCACTGTGCCGACTGAGAGTGAGACAAGGAGGCATAAGGGACAGGGCCCTAGCCCATCTCTGAGCCTCAGTCTTCCTATCTGCAAATTGCAAGTGATAACCCTTGCCTTGCCCCACCTACCTCACAAGGCTGTTTTAAAATTGTATTTGTGAAGAGTTAAGAACTATGCAGATGTGAGAAATTGACACTCTCATTAGTGTGTCTTCTCCATATCTAGATTTGATCTTCTTGTATCAGTGTGTCTTCTCCATATCTAGATTTGATCTCCTTGTATCCCTGACACTCAACACAAGATCTGGCACAAGGTCAATGTTCAATAAATACTTGGTTTATTGATTGACTCTAAATGATGAAGAAAAAGGGGGTTTCTCCAAAGGCCCTGGGAAACAATGGAGGGGCAAGGGAACTGGGACTAAGGTGGGCCAGGAACATACGGGAAAGAGAATTGCCATGTATTTCACATGCCAGTCACTTCCACATACGTTTGTGCATTTTTAATTCTCATTACCACCCTAAGAGGTAGGTAATATTCACCCCATCCTACAGATGTGGAAACAGACGCTGAAGGTGAGTAGGCAAATTGCCCAAGGTCACACAGCTAGTAGCTGATAGAGACTGTATTCAACTCCAGGCTGACCCCCAGGCCACTTCCTGCTGCCCACCTGCACAATGTGGCACGTCCTCCCCTGGGTGCCGCTCCTCAGAAGGGATATGGGGTTTGTGACCCTGGCCCTGACTGTGTCCTTATTGACATCCAAACCAATGGTTAAAACCTATTGACTAGGCCGGGCGCAGTGGCTCATGCCTGTAATCCTAGCACTCTGGGAGGCTGAGGTAGGTGGATCGCTCAAGGTCAGGAGTTCGAGACCAGCCTGAGCAAGAGCGAGACCCCGTCTTTACTAAAAAATAGAAAGAAATGATTTGGACAACTAAAAATATATAGAAAAAATTAGCCGGGCATGGTGGCACATGCCTGTAGTCCCAGCTACTCGGGAGGCTGAAGCAGAAGGATTGCTTGAGCCCAGGAGTTTGAGGTTGCTGTGAGCTAGGCTGACGCCACAGCACTCAATCTAGCCAAACAGAGCAAGACTCTGTCTCAAAAAAAAAAAAAAAAAAAACAAACCTATTGACTTCTTCACCTGTTGTCCCTTTCCTAGACAAGCAATACATCCCCCCACCTTTCCAAACATTGCCTCTTGTGATAAGGCAGTCAAAGACCAGGGAGTTGATTTTTGTGATATTCATTAAGGAAAAACTATATGCTGGAGGATCTCTGAAGCCAACAGGGTTTCCATGGCCTGAGGATAATGAGCCAGCAGCTGCCTCCCTCTTCATCACACGTCTGCAATTAGCAGGCACTTCTGCAGCTTGCCTTTCTCAGGTCAGGAAATGGGCCACAGGAGGGGCTTTCAGCTAGAGGTGGGCTGGCAGGAACAGTGAGCGCCTTCAAGCTGGGAAGGCCGGGAGAAGAGAGGCCTGTTGATACCTGGGGCTTCAGCCGTCTCTGTGGATGGGGGAATAATAGGGAGAAGGAGAGAGGAGGAAAGAGATCCCCTCCTTTCAGAGAGAAGATGAGAAAAGAGGGAGAGAGAGAGATGAAGAGGAGGTGGAAGGAGCAAGATGAAAGAAGAGCAGAAGAACTGTCATTATAACAGGCAACTTTTGTACAGCAATTTAGCCACTGTCTTACTCCTCCCACTGCTCTCGGTAGGAAAACACTGTTATTATTCCTATTTGACAAACAAAAAGTCTGAAAATCAGTAAGGTTAAGAGATTCAGAAAGGTGAAGTGACTTGCTCAGACTCAGACACTGTGGTAGTCAGATAAAAGCAAAAGAAGCCAAAGAGACTTGTAAAGGAAAAAAACATATAATTGGGGAAAAATGCAAAGTGAAAGAAAAAGAAATGGGAGGCAGAGCTGTGCATGGACTTTGGAGACAGCCAAACCCAGGTCTAAACCCAATTTCCACAGATACAGCCACATGACCTCGTGTGAGTTATGCAATCTCTTGGAACCATCATTTTCTTATTTATAAATTGGAGTTGATGATATTTACCCAACAGGCTGTTGTGAGGATTACAAAAGATGGTATTATTTGTAAAGCTCCTAGCATAGTGTCTGGTATATAGTAGATGCCCAATAGATAATAGGGATCCCAAAGAGAAAGTGTAAGAAACATAAGGGCAGAAGAAGGAACTAAATGGAAAAAAAAGGAAAGAGAGAGGCTTTTGAGGAGAAATGAAGAAAGGCTCCGAAGGAAGGGAGGGAGGAAGGTGGAAGGACAGGAAGGAGGGAGTAGGCTGGGCAGGGATGTGATGGAGAGGGCCGCTTGTGCTTCCAGGGACTGCCACCAAGCTGGTCAGGATTCCTCAGGTGGGAAGCAGCCTCTTTGTCTGAATCAGGAGGGCCTTTGCTGTGTCTCTCGGGACAAGCAAGTCCTGCTCATTGTCACAGAAAGTGTTGTTAAGGATCTCAAGATATAAAACAGACAAGAACATCACACACCTCAGGCGCTCTGTCCCCTGGGCCTTTTGTTGGGTTTGTGGAGGAAGGGAGAGAGCTATCGGATTATTTCAGCAGAATTCAGGGAGGAGGAACCCCACTGAGTGGTGATAACCAGAGTGTCTGTGGGTGGAAAAGGCAAATATGGCTTCACTTATTCAGTGTGAATCTTGAGCTGCTTCCCAGAGCCCAGATGAGATGAATGGGCAGCACAGGGAAGAGGAGGGAAATCCCTGATCAAAAAGTCCAAAACCTGGGCTTCTCATGCTGGTGCCTTTCCTCATCTTGGGCAAGCCAGTTTACTTCTCTAAGCCACAGAGTCTGCATTAGCGAAACAGAGAGGATCTGACACTCCTTCCCCAGGGGTGATATGAAGATCATGTGAGATAATGGATGTGATAAATACTTTGGAAACTGTGACGTGCTCTGCACACATATTTACATATTTATTTATTCTTTCAGCAAGCAAACACTCTTGACCCCTCTCTGTGTCAGGCACAGGGTTATACATTTCACATGTATTATCTTGTTTAATTCTTGAAGTGACTCTATGAGGTAAGTAAAATCATCCCTGGTTTGTAAACTGTAAAATTTACAAACCAGGCAGTTGATTTGTAAAGAGAATAAGTGACTTGCCCAGAATTAAACAGCTGGTTAATGGTAGAGCCAGGATCTGACTGACTCCGAAACCAGTGCAGGAAATTCCTGCCCTGTACCGTCTCCTTGAAGCAGAATGGAATTGCTTCGCTCCTGAGCACGGGCCATATTAATCCAGTGCTGGGGCTGGGGGCGCAAAAGAGTTCCAGCTGAAGAAATGCGGAAAAATCCTTATCTGTTTATCTTCTCCCCCCAGGCTTTGATTTCTTCGAAGCCAGTGCCAAGGAGAACATCAGTGTGAGGCAGGCCTTCGAGCGCCTGGTAGATGCCATTTGCGACAAGATGTCTGATTCGCTGGACACAGACCCCTCCATGCTGGGAACCTCCAAGAACACGCGTCTTTCAGACACCCCGCCACTGCTGCAGCAGAACTGCCCATGCTAGGCAAGGCCCACCCTCCTAAATTCCCCTCTTTGTGGCCCCACACCCACTCTGCTTCTCCCTGTTACACACTGTCCACTCCCAGCCCCGAGCAAGATGAGTTGCTGCTGTTCTTTGCCTGCCCTTGGGGTTCTCTGCAGATGAACTCAATGATTAGACACTCAGCACTAGACTTAACAGGTCACTACCTGGGTGGAGATTCACTTTCTAAAAGAAGACTCTGTTTTATGAAGGGGATTCACTACAGGGACTTGGAAAGT